ATATATATATATATATATATATATATATATATATATATATATATATATATATATATATATATATATATATATATATATATATTGAAAGCTTATTTATTGAAAGCTTATTGAAATTGAAAGCTTATTTATTTTCTCTGAGCAAATGATACTTTTAGTTAATGGCGTTTTTGAGAAGATTGAAAAAGCGCCTATTAAACATTCATAATAATAATAATAATAATAATATATATATATATATATATATATATATAAGACTGGAAGAAGACCATAATCGATGTAATATTTGGTAAAATATACCAAATTTTTAGTTTTTTTTAGATTCTAACTCACTGGATAGATGCAACATTTGTTGTTGACTTTCTTGCTCGGGAGTTAAGTTGCATCGGTTGGTCTTAGATAATTTTGTAAAGGTTGGAGCGAGACCACAATTGATGCAATATTTGATAAAATCTACAGAATTTTTAGCTAAAAATTTGGTAGATTTTATCAAATATTACGTTATTACACGTTTATATATATATGTATATATATATATATATATATATATATATATATATATATATATATATATAAATGAAATTTGGGTTCAGACTGTCGTATATATATACAAGACTGTCGTATATACAATTTTATTAAGAAATATCACCGCGTTTTCCGCATTGTTGAGTATGTAACTAAGTTTTTCAATTTTTCGAAAAATTATGGTATCGATATTATTCAACCTATTTAAATTAATAATAAAATTTCTGATTATTTTAGGCTGTATTTTTCATATATGCCTATACACAAAAGCTTTTTTTGAAAACCTTTACCATCATCAGTGTAGTAGAGTTTGTGATTTGTTATATGTAGTTCATCTGGTATTTATAGTATTTGTAAAAAAGGAACTCTAAGTTCCATTGTTCCTTTGTGTGAGTAATTTCGTTGTTGGTAGGGTCGTTACAGCCTGTTGTTGGATGCTTATTACAGGGTTTCTATTCTCTATTATTAAAGCCTCTGCCATTCTCAAGTTACTTATATTATGGTTGTAAAAAACACTTTGGTATTTGATTATAATATTTCCCTTGTTATTTTTATTTGGTGTGGTATTTGAGTTTAATATTTCCCATGTTATTTTTGTTTGTTTATATTGAACCCAAATTTTATAAACTCATGGACTAGAAACATTACAGATGACTGTAATACATTGGATAGCGAAACTGTATTACGACAGACTGAATTTATATATAATAAATATATAAATTTTCTCTGCTAGAATTTTCTGGAAATTGTTCAATTTATTGAAAATAGTAATAAAGTTCATCATGGAAATTTAATAAAACTGTTGTTATCTAAATTCATCATGAAGATAGGACTTAATTTGATTTTTCACAATCATCTTCAGTGCCGGTTTGCCAGCTTGATTTATACAGTTTCTTTAAACAAAGCAAAGTTGTTTCTTTAGCAAAATGAGTTTCTTAGTTGTCGTAGTTTTCATTTTTGTTGTTGTCATTCCTTTGTTCTTCATTGTTGTTAAAGTTAGTATTAGGGCGTCCAGTTGGTAATGATGTAATTATTCTTTATTGGATGTTCATTTGGGCTTTATTGAGCTTTGAATATTTATTGGGCTTTGGGCTATACCTATTAGGATAGCTTCGGCAATTATTAAATTTTTGTGTTGGTGTTTTGATAAGTTAATCATTTTGTGTTGATGTCAAAAAATTGGCGGATTGTTGGAGCTGCAATTGTTGATTGCAAGTTAGATATGATGGCTCCTCTTTGTGTTCGTCGTAACACCAACATACGAATGTTGTTGACGCGCCTATCTGCATAATGAATTTGGATGACAACAGTTTAATTAAATTTTCAGAAAAATTCTAGTAGGGAAAATCGGAAAAACAAACTTTAATTATATATATATATATATATATATATATATATATATGTTGGTAATAGACCATAATTTTTACAATATTCTATAAATTCTAGTACAGCATTTCGCATCTGCGTAGAAAACAATGAAGTTTCAAAAATGTTCGAAGAAGACTTATGACCCGAACATGCGATCATACGCGACTGGATTTTCATCGTCAAACCAAGTAACGCTATCGAAAACAACAACAACAACAAACATGGCTAGAAATAATACAAGTTCCGTTGACTTTATTTTGAATTCGAGTAATTTATTTCACAGCAGTGAGTATTTTTCTGTTCCTGATTTTTCCTCTTTATTTAATGAAGACAATATAACTATCAAAAACTGCTTTTCTATTTTGCATGTAAACACAAGAAGCATATTCAACAAAATAAGCGATTTTCAGTTACTTTTGTCTAATTTGAATTATTTATTTTCTGTTCTTGCTATCACAGAAACTTGGCTAACTGCTGATTTGTCTAAATTAATTGATTTAGATAATTATGATTTCATAGATCTCCCACGTAAAAATAAATTGGGTGGGGAGTTGGATTTTTTGTTAAAAAAAACATTGAGTATTCAAAAAAATATGAATTTTTCGATGAAAATATTTGCGAATTGCTCAACATAGATGTTCAACTGAACATCTATGTTGTCAATATTACTTTAATTTACAGACCCCCTAAATCCAA